GTCGAATCGATAAATATTTTACATTCTCTTGAAACTCATTTTGAGAACTATATCGTAGATACATCGAATTATCTAAATAGATATAAAAAATAGTTAAACGAATATTAAACGTATGTGTTAAAAAATATGCATAAGTCGTTTTTTCTTAAAAAAATCAATTATTTTATTACTATTTTAAAATTTTCGATAAGAAGTTAATTTTAAAAATTCATCGACGATTACATGATAATCGAATTGATAAATATTTTATATTCTCTCGAAACTCATTTTGAGAACTATATCGTAGAGATATCGAATGATATAAATAAATATCGAAAATAGTTAAACGGAGATTAAACGTATGTGTTAACAAATGCGTTTTCTTCTTAAAAAAAAATCAATTCTTTTTTTCTTTTTAATTATTTTCTCTTCCAAATAAAACTTAATTTTTCAAAAATCACTTTTAGTAAATAAAAATTTAAAAATAAACATATTAACAAAAAATATTTATAATATATGTAAAAATTACTTATATAAGTAAAAAAATTCGTTTAAAATTATTTAGATGTAAAAAATAAAATAAAGTTATGAAAATTAAATGAAGAATATATAAATATTATTTAATTAAATTTGAAAATTTTACTTTTTAAATAATTGGTTTTTTTATCAATTTATTTAAATTTCTTTTTAATTCTTTTCTCTTTCAAATAAAATTTATTTAATTTTTTTTTTCAAATTTTTTTGCCCTACCAACCTTGGAGTGACTGTTGTATCGTCCAAGAATATGCCTACTGTTAGGGTTCTAATTCTTACACCAACAAGGGAGTTGACCATCCAATAAATGCCACTTCAAGTTATTTTACGTGCGAAGCTGAGTTTGTTATTTAAATGTTTGTGCATGTGGATATTCTCTTTCAATTTACAACTGTATGGGTTATTTTTGAACTACAAGTATAGCATCTCGAATCGAAGTTGCTAAAGAAAAGCACTTTGCAAAATTCAATTTACAACTTATTTGTAATATCAGATAAAAAAAATCTACATTAAACAAAAAAATAAAATAAATAATTAAAAATAAATTATCGTTGACATATATACAATCACAACATTCATTATACTTATTTATAAGAATAAAAATAAATTATCGTGACATAAAATATACAGTCGACCAAAAGGTGAGAATCAAACAAACATTTTTTATTTCCAAATAATTTTTGCACAATCTATAAATTTTAAGCTAATAAAACCAAAATAAATATAAAATTCGTACAACGCACGAGACGCAGACTAGTATTAAACAAAATATTGCATAAGCTTGAAAAAAAAGAAAAAAGAAAAAAAAAGAAGCATATCAGATGTGTTAAAATGTGTTGATTGTCTAATTTTAAATGGTTTAGATCGACCTGTATTTATAATATGAATATTTCAAACTTGATCGTGACAAATTGAATGAAATAATCCAACGGGATTGTATATAAAAAAGACTAAAGTCGAAAAGGGAATAAATATATGAGTTTAAGCTTGATATGAGCCATTTTAAAACTGAACTGTGTTGCTCCCTGAGTTTCCATTTGCCTCGCTAAATGTACTGCTTTTTAATACCTTTCAATCCTTAACTCGTGGTAAAACTAATTTCAAATTCCGAAACTCCTACAAATTTGTGGAAAAAACAGAAGCTCAAGTTGGTGAAGTGTGAACACTAGGAAAATTGATTAAATTGAAATGATTAGAAGAGGAAATCTTGTGGCATAGGCAGTAGCTTTCGGGCTCTGACTCATAGGTTAATATGGGACCCTGCATCCGCACGCCTGCTTACCGTGTGGACCCTACTCGTTGACTTGAGTATTTTCTCAAAAACCAGAAAACAAAGGTCAAAATAAGGTGACGCAACCATTGAGGGTCAGTCTTCCGTCTTGCGCACAACCACCGCCTGCCGCCGCCACCCACTCAGTTTGACCTTTATCATAATTATTTGGAGAAATTAATAGACCCTTTTGATTATTTTTACTCCAAATTAAAGCAATAAAAAGTCTGTTAATGTTACAACAATTATTCAAAAGCTATCTATGATGATGGATTACATATTTCATATAGTATTCTTTATCGTCTTTCTCATTACTTTATTGGCTTCTATTTGCGTGGGAGATTAATGAAAATTTATAGAGTTTTAGCCAATTTTATAGAATGTTTTAAGGTGGATTTCATGCTTAATTATGTGTCAATGAATTGGTAATTCATGTGTTGCATGAATTGATTGATGCCTATCATAATTGAATACAAAAATATAAAGTGGCGACAAAATAAAATTTTCAAGGAATTTTTCAAGCATTTGAGTGAATTCGTGTTCATCCTAATCAAGAAGAATGCATTAATCTCAACTTTATTCGCTAGTTAAGGTGAGTATATGTGTAATGTGTTAAACTCATTCTGGAATATGTGTCGAATCTTGGGAAACAAAC